AGCTGCTGCCCACATATTCCCTGCCCGGGATCTGCCCCCACCCACGGGGACCCTCAGGGCACAAGTTGATCCATGCAGGCATAACAGCACCAGGTAAATAAAAGGAGCTGGATGCGCCCATCCTCCCTCAACAGTGAACAGCAGTGCTGCCAGGTGGGCCAGGTGTCAGGGAACACATCCTGCCACGGGGAGCAGCCACCCAGTACAGGGACAGGTCCCTTCTGCTCCACCTCTGCCCCAGAGGGAGGCTGTGACAGTGCGCATGGCAGCTGAACGCAGCCACGGAGTCCCCAGATGCCAATCCCAGGATATGAACAGCTTCAGCCTGACTCCCTGCCAGCCCCAAAACTGCAAGCCACTGCGGGGGAAGAGCCCCAGCTCCCCTCACATGCTGTTAGGGATAAACACCACTACGTTTGGAACCATACTTGATGTTCTGCTGGCCATGGAAGGTCATGAAGTAGAGCTGGAGGTCCTCAAAGCGGTCTGCCCACTCATCGTACAGCTCCAGCTGGTCCTCCAGGCGCCGGCCAGCAAACTGCGTTAGCATGATCTTGGCCAGGCGGACGTTGCTGATCTCGAAGCTGCCCCACAGCGTGCACACGCCTTGCATGCACAGATCCAGCGCATACTCACTGATAAAGGTTGTCTTCCCGCTGCCTGTTGGGCCTGGCACACGAACAACAAAGGGAGAAATCAGCTGGGGAGAACAATCTGACCCACCCTGAACGTGCTGGGGGGCTGTTTAGAGGTGAAAGCGGCAAGGAGTAGGACAAGAGCAGCCCACCCGCAGCACTTCCACCATAAAAAAGCAGCGTCTCATGCCAAGCTGCATGTTCGGGCACATATGTGTCACCTCCAGAAGCCAGCAGGTCCCTGACGGGTGTGGAGAAGGGCTAAGGAGCTAGTGGGGGGTACAGGGAGGGCTCAGACAGGAGGTGGCAGGTGGGAGCAGGAGAAAGGAACCCTCCAGGATGTTTGTTGTCATCCCAGGCAGGGAGACCATCACCACATCAGCATGCTTGGTCCCACCCCAGCTAGGAATGCACCCCAGCCTCTCGTGCACTCCCAAGAAGCACTCAGTCATGAGCAGAAAGGGAGCCGGGAAGGGTGAAGCCACCAAATAGTCCTCTGCTCCCCGCATCCACCGTTTGCCCATCACCTGTGAAGATGGTGAGCTCCCCTCTGCGGTGCCCTTTGAGGAGCTTGTTGAGCTCAGGGAAGCGTGCCCACTTGATGCCGGCCACCTGTTCGGTGTTGACCAGCTCCCCGAACACCTCCTCACGCAGCTGCCGGAAGGAGACGATGGATTTGTGGCTGGCGGGCAGGGCGGCACGCAGGATCTTGGTGACGTTCAGGCCCTGGTTCAGAGCCTCCAAGGGCCGGGGCTGCAGGTCACTGGGGCGCACCAGAGAGCAGCGCTTGAGGCTCAGCTTGCGGGCAAAGAGTTTGGCAGCTTCCCAGGAGCGCAGGTCTTCGCCCAGCCACAGTGTGATGCGCTTGAACTGCTCCAGGTAGGGGAGGAGGGCAGGGGGCAGGCAGGTGGCCCCCCGCGGCAGGGCCAGGCTGGCCACCCCTGTAGATTGGTGCAGGGCCAGGGCGTCTAGCTCCCACCCAGTTAAGACCAGCTCTGTATCTCGTTGGCCAATTAGGTGCAGCCCAAAGAGATTGTGATAGGAATCAAAGCGGGGCAAAGTCTCTTCCACATAAGCTATTGCATCCCCCTTCTTCTCCACCCTCACAAGCTTCACACCCCTCAGGGTCGCATCGCGGGGACTAAACCAGGGGAAGACGAGGGACTTGGCTGTCCTCAGATAACGCACCCCAAAGTGTTTCAGAGTGGCATTCGTCACCAGGGAGATACCAAACATGGCCTTGGTCTCATTGGTCTCATCCTCGTCCAGCAGCTCCCAGAGCGGCAGCGCCCGGTCCCAGATG